AGAAAAAGTAAACAACTCAAAAATTTCCTAAAAAGGAAATTTTCAAGCGTAGAAAGGGGAGTGGGAAAGAGTTTTTTAAGATTATAAAAAATTAATTATAAATTATAAAATATATAATTATAATATTTAATAATAAAATATAATATTTTTAAAAATTTTATATAAAGTATGTAAGTTATATAAGTTATATAAATTAAATTTTAATTTATGTCAATAAAAATAACTTACATAAGTTATGCAATTCTAACTTTAATAGTATTAAAAAAAAAAAGTTATTAATAATAAAAATATTTATATTAATATATTAAATAAAAAAGTTTAAATTAAATATATTTTTTTGTTATTGTTAAAAATAAATAATTATATTTTATTATTTTAATATATATATATTATAATATGAAATTGAAAACATTATTTAAATAATAAAGATCAAAAAAATTTTTTTACAAAAATTTAATAATTACAATAAATAAAATATCTTAAATAAATAAATATATTATCAATTTAAAAATAAATAATTATTTAATATAAAAAGAATTTAGTATTGATATACGTATAATTTTTCGATAATTACCATCTATTTAGAATGCATGTGTAAATCAAGATTTTCGATTTTTGGAGCTTATCTTTTTTTAAAATAAGAATATATTGATTTAATTGTTGGTATAAAATAATCGATAAACAAACATTGTAATATTATTAAAATTATATACAAATAATATAAATAAAAAAGTAAAAATTAAAAATAAGATGCATGCTAAAACAATATTAACGAGTGGAGCTTAAGTAATGACAAATTATGTTCGAGTTACTTGCATGACACTATTGTGATACAAATCTGGGGACCGCAATTTTAGGGTTCAAAATTTATTGTTTAATATTACCTAATGTTCAGAAGACTTACACGGATCACAAAACCAAACCTTGTGATAATATTCCTTTCTAATCTGTATCTGGACCTACATATTTAGTCGAATTACGGCAATTTTTTATTTAACCTTATTTGATTGGAATAACCCTTTTTGATTAAAGCAAATCAGTAACGTAACTCTGACCATAAATGCAGCAACATAAACCGAAAATAAGCATCAAGAAGCGAATGAGATTAATTAATGTTGAATAATATCATATAATAGACCAATGTATCGTTTCCATTAAAACACGAGTTTCATATTAAATCAAACTTTTATTTCTAAAAAATAATGTACAGCAATAAATTCATATCCAAAGGGAAGATAATAAAGAATACAAAGACCACCACAACCAAACTAAAAAATAGTCTAATTATAATCAAATGGAGAAAAAAAAAAAAAAACACGTACATAAGCGTGCGTGAGTATCAATTTGTCGAGTGACTTGGTTTTAACAATTTTTTTTTTGTGCGTAATAAAAGCTATTGAGATAAATACAAAAAAAAAAAAAAAAAAAATTTTTTTACATACAATATTTCCTGCTTAACCAAGACCTTAACAGGAGAAATTTGATCAACCGACAACAATATCATTCACAAATTGAACAGGGAGAAAGTAAAATACTATTTATTAATAGAAAATCGAAATCAATGTATACGGAGTGAATTGAAGCTAGTATTGTATGTAGGTCGGAAGTGAGGAGAAGCGGTTGAATGGGTGACGTGGTGGTGGTCCATGATTTTGTAGTAAACCCAATATGTGGTGAGGAAAAATACGCAGGCTGTTTTGATCGTGGATTTTACTTATTTAGCCCTTACTTCTCTGGGCTTTGATACTGGAGATGGTTGAGGAAAAAAGTCATTAGTCGCGTGAAGACGACAAATGTGGGTAGTAGCCCAAATAAAATCAATGAACGAGGTCTTATGCCATTGGCGGTAGTTTAAGGTCCACCTCTTTCCATCATTCGCATCCATGTTTTTATTTGGGTCGTTAGTTGGGGTTGCGGTATGTCTTACCATGTAATGCATTCTTTAGAGCACGCATAGCAAAGACGGTCAACCCTATGCCTTGCCAATCTCCATCGAGAAGTGCCCGCAGATCACCAACGGTCATCAAATCCTGTTTTTTTAATTTGTCTAACCATTCATCTGCTTTCTCGTCACGTTTTGTCAAACTTGCAGTATCACGAACGAGATCATCAATGGAGGTATCATCCGAATATTCTATATAGAAATTCGTAAATTAGAGTAAGAAAAAAATCATGTATATTCTTTTTTTTGTGAGTTTTTTGACTATTGACTCAAATTATAGGATGGGTCACGAACCTTTTGCAGAAAGAGTTTCTACTAAGGCATTTTGAAAATCTGTTGCTGTCGTTGAGGCTACTATTTGTTCTGAAGGTATTATTGGTGGTTCTTGTGAGACCATTGTAATATCTGGGCTTTCACTTTCAAGGGCGATTACTGCAGGATTGGGGTGTGTAAGTTTAGAAGGTGGTAGGTGTGGTGAAATCGTTGCAGCAAATGGTGGCGCAGGGGGATTTGCTGGTGGCCATGGTACTTTATGTTCTTCTCGGTTCTCATCTTCAATTGCTTGTTTGTTGATCTCCCGTAGGATGCGATTTATCTCATGTGTGATAAGCTGTTGATAATTATCAGGAATGACTTGCTCCTCAATCTAAAGAAATCATGATCGGGATTATATAACCATCATCAAGAAACTTGAGTCGATGGAAAATAAGGATAAAAATAAATTTGAATACCATTTCCTTTACGACTTCTTCTGCTGTATCCTTCTCCACATTGAATTCAAACTTGACTGACAATTTATCCATTCCCTTGAAGACGACTTGCAAGGTTAACTGAGTCTTTGTCTCGTCAGCAGTCATTAACACCACTTCAGGTTCCACGGTTAGGAAAGGATGAGACATTATTTGTTGAGCTGTATACCTTCATAAGATGAACGAATAAATAAATAAATATATATCAATCGTCAATCACATGGTCGAATAATTATCCACTGGATTTCTTCTGTGTAATTTTCTAACCTTTCATTTTCAGCATCCAGACAATGTGATATTAAGTCCAGGATTTCCGGATCCTGAACTTTTTTTAAACTCTCCGGTTTTATCCCCTGTGTAAATTAAAATTTCACAAAGATATGAATGCCACATTACAATATGTGAATTATTGAGCATGAAAAAATGGAAATGATGATTGTTTACCGAGGTGACTTTTCTATATATCTGAGCAGGATTCTTACATTCATTATACGGATATTCGCCAGTCACCATTTCAAGAAGGCACATTCCAAACGCATAAATATCCACCTTCTCGTTATAACCTTTTTCTTCGTACATTTCGGGTGCCATGAACTCGGGAGTTCCTAGATAATTATTACAAAATTGCGAATTATAAAATTCGCAATAATCATTTAGATCGCCGGGTGAACTTGATAGCGGCATCAATCACTACAAAATCACGACAGCAACTCAGCCGGGATGATATTATTGCATACCGATAACGGTATACTTTTTTCCCAACTTCATCTTGGCAGTTCCCATGTCACCGATTTTAACTTCACCATGCGCGCCATTAATAAAGATATTATCACACTTGATGTCACGGTGAATAATTGGTGGATTATGTGAATGAAGATATATAAGGCCTTTAAGTATTTGGCGTGACCATCTTTTCACTATTTTCATCTTTGGTAGCGAAAGTTTACGAATGTATCTACGAAAATCACAGGAAAGAATTAGCACTCAAATTTTTTACATGCATATTCTATGATAATTTTAGTCACTTACTCGCGCAAGGTTCCAGAGGTCATCAATTCCGTAACAAAAATAAATTCTGTGTCCTTGTACCAACAATCATGAAAATTAATGATGTTAGGATGTCGAACTTGTTTCAAAATTTTTATTTCTTGGTTCAAGTCATTGAATTCTGCCGTTGTTGTCTATCAATGGGAAAATAAATAGGCTGTCAGTTGAATATGTGAAAGATACGTTCCTCGCATAGGAAAGAAAAGAGTGCCATTTACCTGACAACAGTTCCACGCGACTTCGTAACCTTCTTCACGATCTATAGCCTTATATACAACTTTGTATGCACCTTTACCTAAGATTGTATTTAACTAATTTTTTCAAGCAAAGACAAAAGAAATTTAATATGCGAAAAAAGTATAATATCAATGAAAAAAAATTTTTTTCTAATCTTTCTATCCAACACATTGTTACCTTGGCATATCTGTGATTGGGACTTTCTTCTATCACTGATTCGCGATCATGTTTATGTAATTCGTGGTCATGCAGGTATGAGACATAGTTGTCAACAAGGACGTATTGATGTTTTTGCTCAATGTAATGCGGTTGAATTTTAGAATATGCTTCAAAATCAGTATTGATATCCGTCATGATTTCGCCAGTGGTTCCATTAAGAAGATAAGAACTTGTTTCGTGGAGAGGAGTGTCTCCCCCATTATTTTCGGGATGATGTTCCATTTAAAAAGTGTTCTTTTCAATACCTGGACACTGTTGTCAAGAAAGAAAGGGTGTGAAACACAGATATTAGTATTGGTCGCTACGACTTGGTCAGGCGTTGTCCCTTGGAAAAAAATTGAAAAGCATCAGAAATATCGTTTTGATCTCTACGCTAGTCTTACAATTTTACTAATATGTACATTTATAAACGTATGTAATACAGCCAGCCAGTTTGCCACATGAATAAATAAAAAAAGGCCCTGTTTTTTATTATGTGGACTTCAAAAGATTGATGAAGGCGATTAATGTTTCTGTTTTGGTTGGGCCACTTGGCTAAATTACTGGCATTTTGTGCCCTTACTAAATTCGTAATTTCTGGAAAATCCTGGATTTGAATATAAACATCTGTCCGCGCATACACATGTCACCCTGTTTCTTCTTTATATTTGTAGAGTTAATAGATAAATCGCAGAGTTGTTCTTTCAAAAGGCTTCTTACATTGCATCGACGTTCGTCCTTTTTTTTTCTTAATATAGGTAAAGACCGTGGTAACCGTAAAACGATTTTCGGGTACCTACCATAATTATGTACGGACGTGAGACATTGATGCATAAATTATAAAGGAACATGGGCCTTCGGTTAAGTTTCCGCTTTTAGATGACCAAACTACGTTACTGTGCAAGTTTTAATTTCAGATACATTCTCCAGGGACATTGAAAAAATTACATCATCGATATTTGATTATATTTGATTGATTGTTTTAATTTTCGTGAAAAAAAATAAAATAAAATGAAATAAATAAAATGAAATAATCAGTAATTATTGTTGTTATTGTTATACGAATCACTTCAATGATTATTATAATTGATAGAAAGCTGTATGGGCAGCAAGTTCGTACAGTAATGGTAAAACAAAAAATTATCTAATATAAAATAAAATAATTGTTTTTTTTATATTAATTAAAATATACTGTAATTTATGTTTTTAATTTAATCTAATTTTTTATTTTTTATTTTAGTATAATCTTTTAATTATTAAAAATCAAAAATTTTATTGTATTTATATTATAGAAAAGTATTAAATAAATTATTTTATTAATATATACTGTATGTAATATTAACTTTATATCAAATATTTTTATAAACTATAAGTTTATAAATTAATAATATCTATTTTACAAATAATTGGTATATATAAACTCTATAAAAAATTCAATTAAAAATAAAAAAAGAAATATAATAACTAGTTGTTTAATTATATAATATTTGTATATATACTTTTAATAAAATAAATAATAATAATAAAATAATAAATTTAATAAATAGATTATAAATCTATTTTATAGTATATTAATAATTATTAATAATTCTAATTTAAAAGTATAATTAATTAAGTAAATTTTTAAAAAAAATAAATTAATTACAATTTTAATAAACTTTTAAAAATTTAAATAGAACAAAAAACATTTTCTTATATTATTTTTTTTAAAATTAATTATTAAATCAAAATAACTTTTAAAAATATAATTTTTAACTATAACAATTAGCTTAAATTTTAAAAAATTATTATAAATCTATTATATAACTAATATTATTAACAAATTATTATTTTTAATAATCTTTACTTATATTAATTAACTTTATATTTGAATTAATACTTAATTAAAAACTTGTTTAAAACTAGAATATTTATTATTAATTATAATTTTTATAAAACTTTTATATTAAATATATTAATCTAATCTTTTTTATTTAAAAATTTTAATTTAAAAAAAATAATTTTTATATTAAATTTATACTTTTATATAAAATTTATTTAATTTATATTAAAATAACTAGTTTAATAAGACCTGTAAATTAATAGCATAGTAAATAGTACTTTCAAATTTTCAAATATATATTCCTAATTTAATATTTACAAAAGACAAAATATATAAAAATTTATTTTTCAATTATAAATTTATTGATTTTTTTATAAATATTGTATTTAAATATTCAAATCCAAATCAAATTTAGTTATGCTATACAAAAATAGAACTTCTGATTTTTTTAATAATTATAAGTAAAAATAGATTCCTATATTAAAGGCAAAAATATAATTCAAATGTTTTTTATTATTAAAAAAGTTTTTTTTTAATATAAAAATTAAAAACAACTATCTATAAAAATTTTTTATAATTAGCCGCACATGTATCGCACTTAGCCCAAAAAAAAAAAAAAAAATTTTTTTATAATTTAGATTATTAATTTAAATATTTTTTGAATTATATCCCTATTAAAGTAAAGAATAAATAATTATGTCATTTTCAAAAGAATATAATTGATTTGCAAAATTTTATATACTAAATAATTTTAAGATTCATTTTTAATTATAAGTTGAAAACAAATTAAAGTAAAAAAAGTTGTATAAGAAAGATTTTTGGTCTAACTCTAATAAAAAAAATTTTTTTTTTTTATCATAAACAGATATTAAATACAAGATATTTATTAAACTTTAGTTTATAGTCATTACATTAATAATTTTTATATATATAGTAAGCAAATTAATTGTAGTTTAATGTAACTTTTTTATCTTCAATACATATTGCCATCAAATAGATATTTATATACTGAAGGTATTAAATGGCTAATGCCTATTTAAAATGATGATACTATTGTTGGAATAAATATTTTTTTGTTTGTTAAGTTATCTAATAATTTTAAAATATTAAGAACATTTTAAAAACAATTTGAAAGAGATTGATTAATATTATTAGAACTATTAACTTTGGTTTTTTTCCACTTAATTCTTGACATCAGTGATATAGTGGTGGTTACTGAATGCTGTTTTCAAATTTTATAAAGAATTTTAAGAGAATAATTTGAGATTTCATCTTTTTTATAAAGAATATTGAACTTATGGATCCATAGCTCAGTGGTTAGAGTGTCATAGGTTTGTATTACAAGCTACAAGTTCAATTCTACTAAAGGGCTAATGTGATTCTCCAAAAAATCACATGGAAATTTGTATACCATCGGCCTAACTATATAATAACCGATGCTTCCAATTATAAAAAGACTGGTTTATAAGAAGATTGTGATATGATCAAATGTCTGAAATTGATTGGAATTATTCCTGACATAATCACATTGCCATAAAAAGATAATAAGAAAAATAGATCTCAAACCAGTAAAGTGCCTTTGAGAGATTCCTAATGGCTATATTGAAATATATCAATCAAGCATTTGGCTATATGTGTTTCACAAACTTTACTATTGAAAGGCCTTAATGAGAGGTGAAAATCGTGAACCACTTCAAAAGATCAAAAATCAGGATTCAGGATACTGTAATCAATAGCCTGATAATTAGAATACTCTTAATAAAAAATTGTTTTGGAAAAAATTAAGACAGATTTATGTATCTTTCAAAAAACAGAATGATTTACTTGTTGGCTATTTAGGTTTAGGTAGTAATTATATATAGTATTAAGTTAGATAATATATAGTTAGTCATATATAAATAAGTTAACTATAAACATACAGTATATATATAATACTTGTTGAGTATATATGGCACTGTCTTAAAAAGTTTCAGTAGAGTTAATATAGTATATTTAAATTAGGTATTACTGTAATTGTACTGAAAGCATATATTTCAATAAAAGATATAGCACATTTGTAAATACTTAATTAGCAACAAAATACAAAATAACAAACAAAAATACAACACTAATTTCAATTATTTAATTAAAAACTATTATATATAAGCTAATGGAGCCTTGGCATATTAGCTCAAGCCTCTGTTTTGGACAAGCTGATAGCAACAAGCCAATATGTAAGTTATTTAGATATAGCTTTATTTACATATAATAAACTATGTACAATATATAAAAATATAATATGTATAAAGTATTTAAAAGTCAATAAAGCAAGGTCCAGCTAATGTTTAAAAATAAAAAATAAATAAATAAAGGATATTGAAGAGGATTACAAATTTGCTCAGGAACAAGTCATTATTATAAAGCTGATCAGACTAATGATATGAAGATGGTTGGCTTCGTATAAGATTGCTATTTCTTTTGAAATATTGGAAATGATTATAGCCTTAAGCTTAGGTTTTTTTTTCCTTATTGTGAATAAGCTATGATAGCAAGAAAAAATATGGTTAAGATTCTCTATATGTACCTCACATTGTGGACAAATGTTGTCGATGTAAAGTTATGGATATCTTTTGTGAAGCTTGGCTTTGATAGGAAGCTGATTTGAAAGAATTTTGGTCCTAAAAATAACTAGTGACTTGTAATTAAAATTGTTAATTTTTTGAAGTTTTTTATTAGATTTGATGATTATTTCCAGTTTATTTAAGATTGATGGCTTGTATGTTACTGATTTACTGAACTTAATCCAATAAATAATACTTGTTGCATAATTGTAATTAATTAGGAGTGATGTACTATACTTTGAGGAATGTACTATTGGAATTGGTAGAGATGATTCATGAAACATTGGAATAGAAAATAGGTTCTTGTCAAAGATCCAGGTAAGAGTTACATTTTTAATTTTTGTTTGTTCATTAATTGTTAAGATAAAACTACTATAAGGATATTTAACTTAATGATTAATGTATTTAGAAAAATAAGTATTGATTTTGAGAAAGGAGTAGCATATTATTGTCAAGAAATATGAAATAGTTTGAGTAAGTAAGGGGAGTGCCAGAAAACACGTGATAAAATTTTACTAAGAGTCAACCCCCCCCCCTCCCTTGTGATCCTAACTATAATTGGCTGATAGCATATTATAATTTGATAATGCAAAGAAAGAGAAATAG